TTGCAAATGGATTTATTAAAATACGTTAAATTTTAAACCATTCAAGTACAAAAGCTTTGCTTTGCAATCTACGAGGCGTATGAGTGCTTCTTTACTGACCCTTTTATGCATTACCGAAAGTTACTCATACGCACTGTAGGATCGTAAGGCACTTATTACTTTTATTCTCATTTAAGTGTTTGCCGTGCTTACATATATTTCTTATGCAATTCCCCAGTCTATAATGGCTTTTCATTGACTTTCATGCTATGAAAGTATTGTATTATCGTTTGCAGTTCATTATATGGCCAGTTGCGAGCGGTAATACTTCTTTGCCGCCTAACAATTCACTTTACACACATTGCAAACGAACGTTTTCACATTTTGCCTTTCATATATTATTCTTTTACTCAGACACTTTTGCCATCTATCTCTATTGACTATGTATCATTCTTATTTAATAGCTGAAGTAGTAGCATAAAAACACCGTAAATCAACAGTCAGCATTGCTTTACGATTTCAAGTAGAAGCATCGTTATTGTAAACATACACACACAACTATCTACATACTATGGATGCACATAAGAATGTCCACACATAGCTTTAAGTTTGTCTTAGATGCGCTTAAGGTTGGTTATTACTAAATGGTGGCCATTCTTATTACCTACTGCATGCCGCTAAAGCACAGCTGACTGTGAAATTTAATCAGGATAGCTTAACATGTTGGTATTTTGTTCTCTTGCTATTTCATTGATTGTCAATTCCCACTCACAATCTGTGCACGAATGTTGGTAAAATGTGTCATTTAATATATAGCTGCTATTTATTCGCTCCATCCGCTTTGGTATTGAATGCACTTGTCAGGTCATTCAACGTGCTCAAATGCAGAAACTAGCAAATATGCGTATTAACTTATGATATTAAATTCTCTTATTCAATAAACACTAGTGAATCCGTATGGCGTTTAAATGCCAAAGCGATTGGCCAAGAAATTCAACAAAATGGGAGAAATTTTTCAAAAATTCTGAAAATTGTTTTTGCATAAAATTACTTTGTACCGCTGAAAATAGTTCTAACTTCAAACAATAAAAGCTTATAAAAGAAGTCCTTTAATTTGGCACCTCAGTTTTGAAATTCGAACAAACGGTGCCTTCAAAAAAATGCTTTCGCGTATTACACATATACATATTTAAATGTACAGTGACACGTGTTGATTTTTTTTTAAATATTCATAATGTTTTTCGAGTTAAATTTTATTTGTAATTTTTCTATAAAAATATTCTGCAAGCTTTAACCAGAATCATATAAATCACAGTTTAAAACTTTATACAAAATTTAGGAAAAACCAACAAATTTTCATCAAAATTAAAAATTTTTAATTTGAATGCTTAGAACATTTTTGGGTATGCAGTTTTATAGTCCGCCGCGTTGATTTTTAATATTTTTTTTTTGTGGGGACGGCTTTTGAGGTTTTTTGTAAAAAAATCATCACTTTATCGCTTTTTTGAGTCACTGTATATACATACATAATTACGTTGATATGACTTTTCTAATAGGTGGCGACCCTAACAAAAATACTTTCAAGCTAAAGCTTTCTTAAAGCTCCTTCGTTCGACACTCATATTTTAATATTATATAGGACTTGTTTATTTTTAATTTAATTTAATTAAACTTTTCAAAGAGGTGCAACTCTCTTAAAAATTATATTTAAACTAAAACTTTCGCAATTGTTTTTCTTCTGACATTGTGTTACGTACGTATATAACTAGCTGATGAATTAAGTTTAATTTGACTTTTTAAACTGGTGGCAACATTCCTACATGTAGTCGTAGTCTAGAAATATAAGCTTTTTAAAACTATTTCGATTGATATCTAAATATCTGCTAATAATTCATTTAATTTACTAAATGAGTTGTGTTTTTTACCGGAATTATATGATCTATTATATTTTAAGACTTCTGCCAAAATATTTGTGAAAAGTATTAAGATTTACGTGTGCTATTTAGATCGATTTGATACCAAAAATCTCATTATTTTGATTCAGTTAGTAAAATTAATAAATATTTTTACGCAGACATTTTAAGCTTAAACTCTTCCGCGATCGGAGGTGATTTTTTAGACAAAATATTTCTAAAAATTAATTTAGTTAAAAAAGTTAGTTAAGATTTTTTAGGTATTTTTAAATGGTTCTCTCGCACGCCACAAATCGGAGGAGAAGCTCGGCCAATCATTAACATATGTGTAAGCGCCAATCTATTATTATTATTAACCTTACTCTTCTACTTATTGTTATCTTTCTCAAATTCTTATCGGGATACTTATATTTACACTGATCCTTATCCATATCCATATAATTATACCTATTTGTATCCTTATATTTATCGATATTATTATCCTTATACTTGTCCCTATCCACATGCTTATCCTTATCCTTATTCTTATCATCTCATCCTTAGCCTTATACTTGTTCTTTTCCATATCCTTATCACTATTCTTATCCTTCATATATAACCATATTCTTATCCATGTCCTTATCCTTATCATTATCCTTATCCTTGTCCTTATCCTTGTCCTTGTTCTTATCCTTTCCCGTATCATTATCATTTTCCTTTTCCCTATCTTTATGCTTATCCTTATGGTTTTTTTATTTATCCCTATACTAATCTCCAAATTGATGCACATCAGTACCTCAATTCTTTTCTCAATATCTATGCAGTTTGATATTCTTCCCTATTGCAAAAATTAATTTTCTACTCGTAACTTACCAAACCACAGTAACTTGTATTTACTTGCACTTAATATGTCTGCCGTTTCTGCATTGCAGTTTTATTTTTTGCTGCAACACTTAAGTAAACATTTACTTACTTGGCGCACAGTTTGAAGCAACATACTGAGAGATGCAATAATATTTATTTAGTAAGCGGAGACAACTTTACTACTTTCACTTCATTGCTTCTTCATGAACTTTACTACCCTGCACTTAAGCAAAGGGTGCATTTAATTTATTGACAATAAAGGAAAGCATAAAAATCAGTGTAAATACAGTGAAATCTGGGAGTAGTCGTGCGACGATGCAAGCTGCCAATGGACATTAAGATACTAAGATAACAGCTATTTAAGTAATGATTTGCTATGTGCTCAGAGGAATCAAGATTTTTATCACGTGGATGAGCTCATTAATACGCTACTAAAGCCTGGCGGTACCTTTGGTGTTTTAAGAAATATAGTTTTCTAGTCTAAAATTTCTAGTTAGTTGTTCTCCCCAAGTGCGGACAGATCCTTCTGCACTGGGCCCTTCCGTCCATTGTGTTCTTGAGCCCGCCCACCACTACTCTTATCTTGCGAGCGATTATTCCAATGTCATCTGCATACGCGAGCAGCATCCGGCTTTTTTTAGATACATACATATAGTACCGCTGTAATTCTGATCGCATTCTCGTATCATGCTTTTCAACATCAAATTTCAGAAGTATAAAATTTCGTTTGACCCGGAACGGCACGAATGAATCTAAAAGTTGTGCTCAACGACATAGATAGACATATTACATCGACCAAAATCGACAGGTGGCCTGAAGCCACATTGATAAAGGATTTCAGTATTTCGCACCGTAACGTCGATAGGATCTTATAAGCAATGTTGAAAACGCTTATCCACCGGTAATTAGCGCCAAAAGGAGGATATCCCATCTTGCAGATTGGGCAGTACCACATTACTGAGTAGAGGTTTAAAAATATGCATACTTATACAGCTAGCTGCTTTCTCGAAGGCAGGCACTTATTTGCAGCCAAATTTACTGGCGCGCAGTAGTTCCCTTAACTTGAATAAATCGAAGTGGCGCTACTACAGCTTCCTCGCTTTCTGTCGTGATGCAAGGCTCACCATTGGTTTGCCATCTCGCGTATGGTCTATCCACGCCGCTAGGATGGAAGTACGGAGAAGCAAATTGAAAAATACATAGGAGTGCAACTTTAAGTACATCCCCAGAAAAAAAGCTTAAAATACCCTCAAAGCGTGCTCATCGTTTTAAATAAGTTGGTATACTCACAAACCCAGATTTGGGTACATATAGTAAAATTTCACGAGGAATGTTTTTTGAAGAACATTTTAACGCTTTAGCTCTCTCACCAAAGGATCGCTTTGGCCCCTATATGGAAATTCTAAATAAAATGACATTTGGGAGGTCGCCTCTGTTAAAAAGTCTTCAAAATAGGTTTTGTAAATCGCACCGAATTCAAATCTTATTCTGCTGTACCTGTATATTTATGATTAAAATACAAAATAAAGCTTAAAAAAGTTGTAGCATATTTCAAGGCGACAAATTTGTTTTTTTTTTGGTTTGTTTTCTGTGGACTTTATGTTATTTGTATAAAGTTTTTGTCTGAGAATTTCCCTAGTGAAATTTTCTGGCGAATAATTTTTTAGATGATGTTGACCCTCGAGCAACCTCCAAGATATCATTTTATTCAAGATTTCAAAAAAGTGGTCAAAACGACCCTTTCGTAAGAAAGCTAAAGGCTTAAAATGCTCTACAAAATTATTCCTCGTGAAATTTAACTATAAGTACTCAAACTACATATTTCGCTCCGATATGAATTTTAAACTCTTTTCCACTTATTCTTAAAACACTCAGGCAAAAAATTGCCAAACTTAATATGGCCATAGAAAAATTTGAGCTGAGAATGTAAAAGGTTGTGGAGGTTTTACTATGTGGGTCTAGTTCTTTCATCCATTCATTTGTAATAATTCCGCTGCCCAAAAATGCTGTTGGGCTGTGTTATTCTTTCCATTTTATCTGAATTCAAGCCTTGTCATTTCTATTTGGTATTCTTATTAAAAATAAATTTAAAAAAAATCGTGAAAAAGTATGCACTTCAATCTCATTTGAAGGTTACTTATACGCACTGCCGCACCAATGAACCTTTCATATTTAGTACCCACTAAATCAATCAAAAAAATATCTAATTTAATTGCTTTCGCTATAAATAAGATCTTAAACTAACTGCTTCTTCTCTGTACTTACATATCTCTGATGTCATTTAAACCCCAAAAGGCACGCGGATGTATGTGTGCGATGCGATTTTCATTGAGATCTCTTCGCAGTAGCCATAGAAGTTTTAGGGCGGCATGAAATGAGACAAAACAAATAAATTTCATATCAAAACGAATTAATCACTTTTGCTTACAATATTAAAAACATAAATAACTGTGTAGCCTATATCAAAAAATGTCTGACGCAAATACCTGCGTACATGAATCATTTCGACACGCAAGAAAAAAAAATGATATTGCAAAGTGACAGTAATTCGCAAATTTTCACTACGAAAGTATTTACCTTCATGCGCAAACACGTTTTTTGTTTATGAATTGCTCACTTTACTCCTACCAGCATCACCATCACATTGTTGTGGCTGCAGCACAAATAACGGTAACAATAACTATGATGGCTATAAAAAACTGAACAGCAGCAAAAATTCAAATACGCTAAGGTGTCTGCGAGGCACATTGATTATTTATCGCTTTTATAGCTATGTAGACGGATTTGTATTTGTTTTTGCTTCGTGATGTCCCTTTATTTTCAATATGTAATATATGTACAATGTTTGTCGCGGGTCGTGATTTTATGCCGACTCGTCTGTATCGAAAAACAGACTTAATGCCTTCGATATTGACACTAAATGCCGCAACCAACCCTTACTTCGTTTGTTGACAGTGAAAAATGATTGGCATTAAATAAAAACAATGTAGACAATTTATTAACTGAATATATGTATGTGTACATGTGTATGTATGCACACGTACAAGAACCTGTATGTTATACATTAGTATGTATGTAGGTTTATGCCACAGCGATTGTTTTCATATTTAAGTTACAACTTGTTTTTAAAGAGCATTGAGGTTGAAAACAAAATTTTTTTACTTGTCAAAAATGTCACATGAAATCGATTAAATGCTGGAACAAATTTATTTATTTCACAGTGGTATACATATCAAAATCGTATTTCCGTAAAGCAGGGATCACACGATTTGTACATTTGTACGTTTGGCAGTCACAGAGTGGTGTTGTCTAGAAATTTGTATCGAGAACGATTTCATGTCAATAACAACTTTCCAAACAAAAGCACTCTGTGACGGCGAGAATGTAAAAATGTGTACAAATATACAAATCGTGTGATGCCTGCTTTAATTTGTACGAAATTTATCTACCTCAGCAGCCCATACGAATGTGTTCCTAGCTAGTACAAAAATTGCACTCAATTTTATTGAAATCAGGCAAAAATGGACTTTGGAAGGTTCTGGACAATTTTTGCTCAACATATGTAGTATAAGATACATAGGTACGGTAGCGGACAAAAGTATTTATACATCGAATTTTTCGCATATATACAAAGGTTTTTATTCTAATTTTTTCCGATAATTTTTTATAAAAATATAGTTCGCACTACAACATAAAAATATATATATAAACTTTATGCAAAACTCGGGAAAATTGAATAAATAAGCCCATTCTGTTTAAATATAACAAGAATCAAGTTCGAAGTAAATCGCGTTGATCTTTGGCAATTTTTTTTTAGCAAAAAAATTCAAAAAATTGGTATTATTTTCTCACCAATAAATAAAATTCAGTAAAAAATCAGTAAAATTTAATTTTTTAATGGAAGTTATAACCGTGATGGTCCGTGTTCATAACCGTTACGGTCACTGAAATAATTACAAAATTTGATCTCTTTAAAAATTAAGTTTTCACAAAAAGTGGGCTTAGCAACAGAAAACAAAATTTTAACTTTTTTAAATTACTTACAGCAAATTCAAATTAGTCAAATGAGCAAAGGTATCCTCTGCAATATATTCCATGCGATTTGAATCCAAATAGCTGCAAAAGAAAAAAAATAAAGAGAGAGAATTATTTTAATGGATATGCATTGAAATAATTGTGTACAAGTATACATACAGTCAGTCAATAAAGTTTAGGTACAGCGAATTTTTTACAATACGGGCAACTATTTTGTAAATATTTTATGTTTCGCTAATTTTTTATAATAATATGGTTAATTCTACAAAAAAAAAAATCAGCGTACCAAACCTTGTGCGAAATTGAAGACAATTCTGCAAAATTTCATTCAAATATTGCACTTTGTATAGAAAGCTAATGGCTGATTTTTTTTTGTCGAATACTTGTTTATTAACTTCAAAATAATACAAGAAAAGCATAGAGAAGCAAGTATGCTGCAAAAAAATGGTGGTCCTTAAATATAAACTACCCTTTAGTTTCATGTTGTGCTTTTTTTAATTTTCCTTTATCGAAAGGCGTCTCAAGACTAAGTAAATTTGTAAATTTGTGTGACGCAGATATAACAAAAAATCTGCTAGTCGGTTTAAAGGGTGAGGTAATCGCATTGTTCCCAAATTCAGACTGATATAAGTTTCGAGCAACAAGCGCTGAAATGGTCTGCATTCTAGAATGTTCGTAAGCGGATTAAAAGAAATCTACGTCGTAGTGGAAGAAAAAATGGCTGCTGAGCTGGGCATATTAAGCGCAAAGCATAGACGAATTAATGGAAAACGATCTCAGACTGAAGCGGGATGGGTGTTTTTCCATGAGTCTCCATTGAGCAGTATGTAAACAAACAAAATGATCGAATTGATTTGTCAAAATGAAAATCTGAATGTTCGAATGGTCACCAGAATGCACACACCACTAATGGTGCCATAATGGCTAATGGACGCTTTCTGATCGTATTTTTGGAACGTAGCGTAAAAATAAATGCGCAAGTATATCGGAAAACTATGTTAGAATCAGCCCTGATGCTGTTAACAGACAAGCATTACGATCGTAGACCTTCGAGATTTTAACATGATTCAGTACCGTCATACAAATCACGAGTCAACTAAGAGTTGCTTTAAAACAACGTCAAAACATTTATTTTTGTCGACGCAACGGCTGTCGTTTCCTTTAGATACGAAACCGCTTAATTTTTGTATCTGGCGATATTTTAAAGAGCAAAGTTTGCTCTAAAAAATACCAGGCTGTCGAGTATATCAAACAATCACAGAAACATGGACAAAGGCATATAAATATGAGAAGGCCTTCGTAGTTATCGAGGGAACGATTTTCGTAAAGCCTATAAATCTGTTCGTGTAGCTGATGACTACTAAAGAAAATTGAATAATGAACTACTCTAGACAATAGAAGCAAAGGCGGCCATGCACACTATAGAAATGCTAATGGCGGAAGTACCTGTCTGCACTTGGTGTGAATAGCTGGCAAAAATTTGCAAAGAAGAGAGGTATTTGAAAAAGTTCCTGGTGGAATAAACCCAAGAGAACATTCTATGTTACTGCTCACGTATCACGAATACGAAGAATATAGGAAGGCAAATAGGAAGACCAATACGGATAGAAATATGAAGATAAATACGAATAAAGAGATGACAACGAAGACTAATACGATGGCGTATATGAACACAATTATGAATACGACATCGAAGATGATTACGAAGACATGAACGAAGGCGTATATCAAGATAAATTCATTCCGAGAACGAATATGGAGATGATTGCGAAGACAAATTCAAAGACACACTGAAACGAATAGCGAAATCAATACGAAGACGAAGATTAATACGAAGAAAAACACGACAACAAGACAAATACATATAAGAGATGAGACGAAGACGATACGAATACGGAGATGAATTCGTGGACGAATTCGACTTTCAAGCTAACTTTTGTTTCCTAGGTAATAACCTGTTCAAGCATAAGCATGTGTGCAGGCATATATGTATTTAAATCTAATAGCCTTTGTGCTTACGAGTATAGTAGGTGACTAAGTTTTCTCAAACATTGACTTTTATTGCACACACAGGTTTACATGCACACCCGCATAACAAACATTTTTTATGCGCATACATACATAAAAACATATACATAAACATATTTTGCCGGCTCATCATGACCTTTGTAGATTGAGATGCGCTTAATACACTACACATACTCTACTCACATTTCATATAGACGCGGCATGTGCGGAAATCTCTCGTTACGAAGTGTGAGTAAATTATCACTCAGCATCAGCCATTCAAGGCGTGGCATGTCCGCAAATTGTGCCAACGGCAACTGACGCAATTGATTCGAGATGAAGAAAAGCCACACCAAAAAGTTCATGCCACGAAATGTGCCGACTGGCAGCGCGCTGATATTATTGTGCCGCACATCCAATTTCTCCAACTGGTGTAGACCATTAAATGTGCCCAGCGGCACATGCGATATGTTGCAATGCTTCAGTGAGCTACCGCGGTAGAAGGCGAAACACACACATATATGTATGTATGTACACACGAGTAGATAAGTGCGATGGAAAGGACAGATAAAGAAATAATAGATTACATATATAAAGTAAAAGGCGTGAAGTTAGAGAAGTAAGAAGGAAAGAAAAAAGAAGCAAACAAAGACGTTGCTATAAATCATAGTAAATAGGCATTAAGATTAGCGCAAATGCCGAAAAAGGGTCAAAGGCCTCTATTGAACGCTGCTATGCCTTCAATTCTCTTCTACTGTATTTTGCTCACTTGCGTTACTTACAGCTTCACCAAGCGTTTCAGTCCAATAAAGGCATTCTCACGCAGTGTCAAATTACTGCGGCCGATCATCAAGTACGTCACCTGCAAGAAATGGTGAAATTCCATTGAGCTTTTTGAACTAAGTTCTTGCGTTTTGTGTGGCTTAAGTCTTAAGCATGTGCATACATACGTACTTCTGCACTTAAGCGCGGTATACGCGTCAATTTCGCTTTGCGGCCGCAATACAATATTGTACGCTGTCGACAAGTGCATACACCTTTAGGATATGTTGTAATTTCTGTAATGAATGAATAGATGAATAAATAAAGGTGAAATTCGCGTAGAAGAAGAAGAAGAATGCGTCCATGGAGACATTAAACGCTGCGCGCGGTCGCTTTTTAATGAGCACTTCTTACCACAGTTCGCAACTTCTTCGTTGCCACCGCTGGCATACATGTTGCCCCCACTAATACTGCTGCCGCCAGCGCTGGCAATTACTTGCGTACGATGCCCACCGCCAACAGAGTCAATGGATTCTTCCTCCGCTGGTGGCACTCCCACGCTTGTCACATTCATCAATTCTCCTGCTGCTCCGCCAAGAAATTGCCCGCTCTGCTGCTGCTGCTGCCGCTGTTTTTGTCTTTGTTGTTGTTGTTGTTGCCGTCTTCGTTCAATCGCATTGCCGACAATTTTATCGGTCAGCGCCTTACTGCCATAAAGTAGGCCACACTCGACCGGGTGTTCATCGCTGCCATCCTCACAATCTGTGCGATTGTCGCAAATTTGGCGCTGTGGCACGCACAACGTATTGCCATCGCAGGCGAAGGTTCCCTGCGGGCAGGGTCCTGCAAAGAAACAAAGTGGCAGTGGTTTAACACCGGAGACAAAACGTACAGTTATAATGGAAATGAAAACTTGAGAAAATATAGAGGAACGTGCGAATAATACTCGTATCCAAAAAGAAAAGCATTAAGAGAAAACTGCCAGAATGAAATTAATGTTGCACCCAGCCATGGCAGGCAAGCGGATAAATTAAGAACCAGCAGTTGGCCCAAATTCGGTACTCGTAATATTACCCAAATACTCAGCAACTACATACATATATATAGCTACTAGCTGTTGGGGCGCGGGTTGCGCGGTAGGTGTCGAAAATTAAAACAACCGCTAACGACCCGCAGCAGATCGTTAATTTAAAATAATTGAAATGAGCTTTTGCAAGCTGTCTGCCTTTTGGTTAATGTTGGGGACACGGAATTGAAAATTGTGGCAGTCTACTTAAGCTTGAGTGGACAATTGCGTAAACACTATTAAAGAACTTTGTGGCAAGCAGCTTGTGGGAACAGTAAGAAAAGGAGTCTTAGTACTTATTTGCGCATAACCATAAGATAAAGTCTGTTGTAAATAAGACAACACAAACTTTAATTAAAATATATTTCTTTTTGGTTATAATCTAGTTAGTGTCGACATTTGGTACTGAATTCGGCTTGATATAAATAAATACTTGCTAAGATCTTACAACGAAATTTATAAATATTATTTAATAGTTTTCCCACACCCTTTTCGCTGAGTGAACATTGGAAGTAATTTATTTTAATTTTTTTTTTACGATTTTTCTTTTTTTTAACCTCCTTCAACATATTTCCTTTGACACCCATATTGTGATACATATAGTAATATCTACATATGTATATTATCTTAGTCCAAGTTTAATTTGACTTTTTAAAGATGTGGCAACCTTTCTACGTGTAGTTAAGAAATAAAGACTTTTCAAAAACATTCTAATTGATATCCATTTAGTAAAAATTCATTCAACATATTAAATAATTTGATTTTATTAAATTTTTAAATATGTGGCAACTATTTCAATCCGTAAAATATTATAAATGTTCAAACAAAATATTTCTTATTACTTTTTCGTTTGGCATCCATATTTCAACACATATTTCATTTAACTTGTGTATACATATTTAAATTAAATTCGACCTATTCAAAACTATTTATATCGATAGCCATAAAATATTAATTCATTTTATTTAATAAATTATTGAACTTAATTTTTAAACAGGTGGCAACCTTCTTTAAAACATATTGGAAATTTAGCCTTCTTAAATCTCTTTCGTTTGACACCCAAATTGTAATACTCCTTTTATCTAATCAAGTTTATTGAATTTAACTTTTCAAACAGGCGGAAACCCTCTAAAAAAGTTTTTTTTTTTTAATGAGCTTTCTTAAACTCTTTGCTATGTCAAACCCCTTTCGCGACATTTGCTCAAGCCCATTAATTTAATGTAATTTAAAATTTTAACTGCTGACAACTCTCTTTAAACCTAGCGACTAACCTTCTTCCCGCCGAGATGGCATATTGTGATTTTTATTTTATCTAAACAAGTTTATGGAATTTAGATTTGCAAACAGGTGGCAACCCTGCAAAAGTATATATATTTTTTAAATTAGCTTTTTTAAAACTTTGCCATTTAACACCCGAATTGCGATATTTGATCCTTCTCTTCGCAGAGACGAACACGCAGATATGCGTCCTTCTACAATCGGACCACGTCAACATATTTCCGATTCAAAAATATTCAAGACGGTGCTTAAAGAGACTAAACCGAATGTGTACACCAAATTTGGTCGAGATTGGTAAAGTAGTTTTTGAGATATGCATATATCATATAAATGGGCGGTGCCACCCCCATTTTCCTAAAATTTCTTTAAAAACCACTATTTTGCTAAAGAGCGATTGTATATCAAAACTACTCAAAAAAGTCCGGTACATATACAATATAAATTCAAGGCCGTATTTAAGAAAATTTGCCTAACTTCGGCAATTTTTATGCTATTGCAAATAATCAGTTTATTTCAAAATAGATTTAATTTTAGATAGTACTACAAATTTTTGAAATTGTGGAAATAAGTGATGGTCAAAACTAAAAAAATAAGAAAAACATTTTTTTTTTTTAATTTGCCTGATGAAAAATCCCGACAATCCAAGTCTGACAATAGATTATTATACATCATTTTAAAGTCCCATACATCCTCTTCTGACAACATGTTCGATCTTTGAAATCTAATGAAAAAAGGTCATTCAAAAACTGATAAATCTGCAAAACCGTACTTTCTGCCCTAAAATGGCAAATCGCGACCTCTAAATGATTTTTAAAAATTTATAAAAATAGGAAATAATATTTCTTATAATAAGGAAGGAAATTAGTGGGTAGGGTCTTGAAATTAAAAAAAAAAAAAAAATTGATGGATGCCGTAATGTACATACAAAGTGCGCTATGTAAAATTTTTTCAATTTTTACTTTTTGGCGGATTACGTACCAGTATTTAAAGTAGTTTGATGTCCACTAACAACACAGAGCAAAATCTTTTTTATATTCTGAAAAAAAGTCGCTATCATACTTATTTATAATCTTTCAAAAGTATACATCTTCTGATGAACTTAGAAAACTGCTTTAAGTCGTATATACTGTTCATATTATCTCATGTCATGTTATGTTATGTTACAATTTCATAAGGCTCTTATTTATCGAAATTTCGAGGTAATAATAAAAAAGATTCAATTTAAATGCTACTTGTTGTCGTAGTCGTTTTTTTCAAATTTATGGCGTTCTATTATAAAATCACATAACGCTGTTTGCAAGTGGACTACTCATATGTATATAGAGAACACTGGCCAACACAATTTTGCGGCTGAGCTTTGAGAGCTGATTCCTATAGGATTTTATCAAATTGAAGTTCAGATCCGGATTCTACCGAAATATTAAAATTTGTTATATTTTTCTCTCATCTGAGGTGATTTTTAAGAAAAAATTTTTTTAAAAATTGAAAGCTCGATTTTTGGAGGTACAGTATATTTTGCTTTGCTGCCTTTATGCTTAAGTGCACATTTAA